GTCAGGAGCAAGGGTAGCCCTTCGTTGAGAACCACACTGAGGAGACGTGCTTTTTTAGAACCCACAAGTAATGTGAGTCCCAAGAAGGATTTGGCCAAGTTCGAGGGCTGGCAAGTCCTTCAGGTGCCGCAAACTGGGGTCGCCTGGTTAACTTGCCAAGTCACCGGATACCCCGTCCCAAGATACTTGTGAGTGCAGTCTTTCAATCGTGTTTGGTATGAAACAATATCCCTGTGCCCTATCCCAACATATTGATTGGTCATTTTGGGAAGATTAAAGTCCCCTTAACGCACTAGAACCGACCAACAACGTCCCCCCGAAAAAAGACGGCGAGCAGTTCGAGGGATGGAAAGTTATTCTGACGCCCCAAAGTAGTGTAGCTTGGTTGACTTGCCAGGTTACCGGCTACCCAGTGCCCCGATACTTGTAAGTTGTACTTTGGCATGGAAACACTGCGATCTACTTGTACATAGTCGCGCTGATGTTAATGATGGCTTTCCGTTTGAAGTTTTTCGCACCATGACTGCTTTTGCGTTTGGATGGCCAATACAGGAAAAACTGGGGTTTGCTTCTGCCATTTGTCAAAATATGCCGCTCTGTTCTCACTTGATATATCAATAAGTTTAGTGGGCTCGTAAAACTGCGGCTACTTTATGCAATTTTCCAATCGTATTGATTCCTACATTTTCTATTGGTTCGTTTCAGAACCTACCAATAATTTACCTCCAAAAATCATCGGGGAGCCGATTCCGTGGAGAATAGCCACTTTTCCACTACATTCAGATGGAGTAATTCTCTGTCCGGTTGTTGGTTATCCAAACCCTATCGTTAAGTAAGTTTTTGGAACGCTTTCAACATAAGCTTGCTTTAGCTGCTTGTTGGCTTTAAGTAATGTGGTTGGGACATGGATACAATCTTTATTGAGACAGTTTGACACACTCAGAAATTAGTAGTCAATAAGATTTTCCATCAAATGTTTCGAAAGACATCAAAATGCGTTCGCCTCATTCGCTCACTTTTGGGTGGCAGGTACATCTTGTTTTTTTTTATCGCTAGCGATCGGTAGAAATAATGCTATTTATTCCGTTGCTCAATGCAGTAAATTGATCCCACTCCAATTTTCACATTGTCTCAAGGTAGATTGTGTCTCTATAACACAGGTAGCGCGCCCTATATGCTTCTGCTGGCTCTAGAATCCCCAACGAAATTGTATGTTGGGTTTAATATTTCCATGAAATTCGCCGGTTTAATCTTAATTCCAGTTCCTTTTACTTCCTCACTTAAATCTTCGTTAAATTTAGTAAAATCATCTCTGCCCAACATTCATTTATGAATTTTCAATTGTAATTAAACCACACTCTTCCAGAACCCACCAATAATGTGGCCCCAAAATCGACAATTCGCAAGTATGGTGGCAATGTCTACCAAGAAACCAACAATGGCAGCGATATCATTATGCCTTGTGATGTTTCCGGTTTTCCTTTGCCCAAATTCAGGTAAATGCTCATCAAAGGAGAGTTTCACTAACCATTTTTCTGGACAAAATTCCGCCCAACATTCAGGTCGCTCTCTCAAAATCAATCTTGTCAAAATATCTATATGTATGTGTTAGAACCAACGAATAATGTAGCGCCTAAAGCGGCCGGTCGCAAAATTGACGGCAGCATTGTCTTAGAGATGGCTTACCTTAAAGACATTGTAATCCCATGCGATGTCACTGCTTACCCAGTCCCGAAATGCAGGTAAGCGTTTCGCATGCACTTTTTAAAGCTCTTGTGATCAGTGAACGACGTAAATTTGAGGGTAAGTATAGGATACTACTTTGGTCAGACAGGTTGGTTAGTTTGAAGCAAGTGGTGCCCGATATATCCCTCTTTTCTCGTCTCGATTAGTCAGTGTGATACTTTCTTTATAGAACCGACGGGATCAGTTGGACCTCGTCTAAATTCCAAAACTATTGATATTAAGGATAACGCGTTTGGTGAAACGGCAGTAGCTTTATGTCCTGCTCAGGCATTTCCTGTGCCAAAATTTAGGTAAAGAGACCAAATTTTTACAATTGTCTGTCAGAGCTTGAGTGTGTTTCGACCCCCATTAGCTCTCATCAGTAAATTTTTGCCTGCTATGTACTTTAGGCATGGGTAACTGAGTGAGTTCCAACGCACCGGCACAGTAACTCACCGATGCAGTTGCGTTGCAGTCCCCCTTTGATAAAATGTGGTTAAAATTTTACTTAGGATTTGAAGAAACAGTTGCGGGAACACATTTTGCATCGCGTTTTCCAAAACGTAATTTCTCAGAAACAAAAAATTACAAAAACCGTGACAATTTCAAAAATCGCATTGACATCAGACTTAAAATATGAAGTTGATGCCGGTTATTTTTGGCTGTTCTCATTTATTATAACTTATGATTAGTGTTATGTTTTTCAATCGAATAAAAAATGTTGTTTCGGACGAGGGCGAAAATCCGTTTTTCGAACTGCTGGTAAAACGTCGTCGAAAAACTTTTAAAAAATGATTCGATGTTTTTAACACTTATCTTAAAACGTTACAAGAACACACTGTAAAATCCAAGAATGTCTTGTTTTGATCAATATTAACGAAGCATTGTCACATGCTGTCTCCATTCGTTCACTTCTCGTCGATTATTTCCTCATGAGCGTCACCTAATTTTGCGAACCGAAACAGTATCTACTAAACCATACTTGGTTCCCTTAGTTCTCCCGTTCACTCATCCCTGTTAATTCACCGTAATTGGACCAGCGAAAGCATTTGATTAAGATCATTTTCTATTGTTACAGATGGTACAAGTTTATCGAAGGAACTTCCCGGAAACAGGCAGTCACTTTGAACGACCGAGTGAAACAAGTGGCTGGAACACTGATCATCCGCGAAGCCAAGGTGGAAGACTCTGGAAAATATCTCTGCGTTGTTAACAACTCGGTCGGAGGCGAAAGTGTTGAGACTGTGCTCACAGTGACTGCTCCACTTAAGGCCAGCATCGAACCCAAAGTGCAAACTGTCGATTTCGGCAGGCCCGCTGTATTTACGTGCAAATTTGAAGGTGGGGTGAACAAGCGACTTGCTGAACCTGCCGGTTGAATATGAAATTGTTGCAGGAAATCCCATCAAAACCGTCTCCTGGTTGAAAGATGGGAGCAAAATGGAACACACCGATGCAGTCCTTCGGATCGACGCGGTGCGCAAAGAAGACAAGGGCATGTATCAGTGCTTCATTCGCAACGACCAGGAAAGCGCCGAAGCCACTGGAGAGCTGAAACTTGGAGGCCGATTCGAACCGCCTCAAATCCGACACGCTTTCAACGAAGAAACGGTCCAACCGGGAAACTCCGTCTTCCTCAAGTGCATTGCCAGTGGAAATCCTACTCCAGAAATCACATGGGAGCTCTACGGGCGACGTCTTTCCAACAATGACCGGTTCCAGATTGGCCAATATGTTACAGTGAATGGTGATATAGTGTCTCATTTGAATATCACCGGCATTCACACCAATGATGGCGGCCTATACCGATGCAATGCCAACTCGAAAGTAGGCAGTGCCGACCATTCGGCCAGAATCAACGTCTATGGATTACCATTCGTGCGCTCCATGGAAAAGCAGGCTAT